CCGCCGCCCGCCCCATGGCGGCACCGCCCCGCGGCCCCCTCAGGGACGCGGCCGCGCCCCCCTCAGGCACCACCGGTCACCAGCGCCGCCAGCTCGCCTCAGGCAGCGCCGCGGGGGAAGGCGGCTGCGAACGCCGCGAAATGGCTCTGCCGCGGTGATTTCCTGAGGGTTCCCCACAGCCCGGGGGTAGCGCCGGGAACCCCGCGGCCTGAGGAGGGGACAGCCATCGCCCCCGCCCCGCTGACTGGGAGGCGGCGGCGCTCTGCGCATGCGCACAGCTGCCCTCACAGCCCGCGAGGTGTCGCTCTCTCCTCAGGGGGGTGATTCTAAGCGCGAGCAGTAGAGTTGGGGCATTGGCTCCCTAGACAGTCAGCGAGGCGCAGGGCGTGCCGGGACGGCAGTCTGCCTCCGGGGCAGCCATCTTGTTCTCCTCGCCAGGGCCGAGCTGAGGAGCGCGGAAGGATGAAGGGGTTCCCGGTGGTCGCGCGCTCTCTCTCGGTGAGTGCGACTCGGAGGCGGTGTGCTGTGCGTGTGGGAGAGGCACAGACTGCGGCGGCAGCGGTTGTCCGCGCCCCAGTGGCTGCGGGCGGGCCTGACCCCAGCCGGTTCTGGGGGGGCGAGCCGGGCTGGTAGGCGGTGGGCGGGCGGGCTGGCTGCCTTCGTGCCTGTGGGGTTGTCAGCGAGGGACCTGAGTGGGGACCAGGACGGAGGTCGGGCCGGCTAGGCGGACGCTGAAGTGGGGCGGCAGTGCTGAAGGTCAGACAGGCCGCGGGCCGGGCCCGGGGCGGCCTGTGCGCAGCTCCGCGGCTGGGAGCTCCTGCCGGGGACGGGCCGCCCCGGGGGCTTCACCGAGATCTCTCCCGGCAGCGGCCGACGAGGCAGGGCCGCCCGTACGGCCGGAGGGGGGAGAAGCGGCCTCCTAGGGGGTTGTTTCCTCCTGGGGAGGCTTCAGCTGCTTGTGGTAAGGGTGCCCTTGGCAAGTGGTGCTCGGCTCGTCCCGGGGCCGTGGAGGGGACAGAGGGCTTGTTCTGCTGCAGAAATCTCCATGGGTTGGCAGACAGCTGGGATATAATTTGTATTAGGTCTCTGCTGGAAATGCTCTCTTGAGTGGGATGATGTCTTCTGGGTCACAGTATGTTTGTAAGTCAATTTTAGGCATGCAGTGGTAATGCATAAATACGTCAGCTTAGAGGTTAAAATTAGGTCCACAAATTTGTGGTTGGGGAAGAAAGGAGTTTTTCCTGGACTCATACATTGAACTGAGGCTGTGGCAAATCAAGGGGAATTATGTCATTGGTGTCTCTCCTACAGAGTGCAGTGGTGTTTCTGTCACTTGGTTTTTAATTTGAGATAGATAGAAATTAAGTTATTTTTTTAAATGTGAAAAGATGAGTAATAAATAAATAAATTTTACAAATATAAGAAACTTCCAAAAAGGAAATAACATTTCTGATTCAAAATCAGTAGTCTTGTCATTTCTGTTGCCAGCTACTGAAGGGAAGGCTCTTGCGACGTTCACCCCTTCAATCTGAAGGCCTGTTTCTGGTTATTAGCTGTGCAGGTTGGGGACTTGCCTGTGTCCCCTCTGTGTGCAGCAGTCAGTGTAGACAGGGTGTTCTGGGAGGTGACTCTTCAGGAGTTGAGCTGCCCACACCTGATCAATTAGAAAGTTATCTCCAAAGTTGTGTTCTGCTGTAGCTGTTTGTTACTTGCTATACGTTGGTCCTATAGACTGTATACTATCAGTAGAGAGTCTTGCTGCACAACAGCAAAGAGAGGGCAAAAAAGAAAGCGTTCTTACAGTGCTATTTTTTGAGCTTCAGAGATCTCATGTAAGTCATTGCACAGGTCCAACAGTGATGTGAAAAACAATCAAAGGAATTGGGAGTCTTACAGTCCACTTACTCTGGAGCTTGAAGTTGCTCATTGTATTTCAGTTTTAAAATCATTTGCTTTTTCACTATGTAATGAAATGTGATGAACTAATTCAGGAAATCCATTGTCTTATGCTTTCTTTTCTAGAAGAGACTTTACTCACTGAAGGTTGCTCCTAAAGTTGCAACCTCAGCAACTGCACAACGAGTGAAATTATCTCCAGAGTCTGAAGATCTTGAGGTCAGTATGAATACTGGTATTTTTTTTCCTCTCTCCTTTTTATTTATGTTTTAAAACTCGCTCAAAGCAGAACTCTGACAATTCTTCCAGTTGATGACTGAACCCATTTTTTTCTTTTTAATATAGATTACAAAACTACCAAATGGCTTAGTTATTGCATCTCTGGAAAACTTTTCTCCGGCTTCAAGAATTGGTGTGTTTATTAAAGCGGGCAGCAGATATGAAACCCCTAGTAACTTGGGAACTGCTCACTTGCTTCGTCTTGCATCTACTTTGGTAGGTGTTTATGCTTTTGGTTATTGTGTTGGCAGTAGGTGAGGTGGTGGAAGGTTTATGATCGCAAAGAGAAACGATATGGTAAAATTTAATGTAAGAGATCTTATAAAGCAGAAAACAATACACATTGATTCTTGGTTATCTGGTTCAGGTGCAGAAGAAATTACATTACTTCCTGGAAGACAGGCAGTGATACTTATTTAGAATTATGCTCCCCATTGGTGTCTTAAACTATATCTGTATAAAATATATCTACGTGAAGGTATGCACATAACTCGTTTTCTTTAAGCTGCAGTAAGAGTTAACTTGGGTGGCTGATACAAACTCAATTTTGTGTGTGTAATATTTCTGAATAGTTTTTCTTACTACTGACATCAAGATATTTTAAGCTCCTTGTTTTCCCTTTCTCTTTTATGGCTAGCTTCAGTTATATGAGATGCTACGGAGGCAGATACCTATCAGCAGGTTCAAAAAAGAATCAGACAAATTCATTGATAGCAGGTCCTTAAGCAGTTGCTAATAGGAGTAACTCCTGTAGGTACTTCAGGAGTACCATTGAATGAGTTGTGGGATGTTATATTTAAACAGCCTCATCTGTTGCCACGGTCAGGTACAGGCCATTGGGTTACATGTCCCACAGGCTTGACCCACTGTGGCTGTTCCCCTTGTTCCTGTTTATCTTCATTGCTGTTGGGGTGTAGCTGCAGATGGAGACACGGCCTCTCTCGCACACCAGCCAGGCTGTCATGCTTAAAGCTGTGCAGCACCGCTGACGTGCCTTTGCTGTTGCATGGGCTCCATCCACATCAGTTTCAGGCAGAAAAAAAATAATGACATCCCAGCTGGTTATTGCCGCCTCCTCAACTGCTGGCTGACGCCGCTTTCCACAGAGAGCTGTCAGCAAAATAGTATGTACAGGCATTCCTTGCCCTGCTTTTGTCAGGCTTATCAAATTCAAATAATCCTATTAAATGTTCAAGCAAACCAGGGTAATTCTAGAATGGGCTTGGTGAGCAAATATGTGCACAGTTATGGTGGAAAATCAGAGAGGATGATAGAAATGATAGAGGGTAGGGATGCAGTAAGCTGGCTCTACTTTTCAATATTACTTCTGTATAAATGAATAAACAGATACTGTTCTACTGTTCTAACTTTGCCTGAGCACTGAACAACCTCAGGCAAATCTGTTCTTAATATAGGTAGATTTTTAAGTTGTGCTTTTTTTTTCCTTTTTTTTTTTTCTTTTTTTTTTTTTCTTTTTTTTTTTTTCTTTTTTTTTTTTTCTTTTTTTTTTTTTCTTTTTTTTTTTTTCTTTTTTTTTTTTTCTTTTTTTTTTTTTCTTTTTTTTTTTTAATAGACTACTAAAGGAGCATCTTCTTTCCGGATTACTCGTGGCATTGAAGCTGTTGGGGGTAGCCTAAGGTTTGTAACAACACACAGAGATAATCTGTCTTGGTAAAATGCAAACAAGCTCTATGAATAAAGGAAACTTAAAACAATAAGCATGGCAATATGTAGGCCTGGTGTGGTGATGGTACTTGAATAGTGAATGTTGACAAGGAACATCTTTCGTGCTTTTCATTTGGTTAAGGTTCAAGAGTGCACCCATGATTGATATTTTAAAAGCACATTTCAGTTAACAGCATATAAATGTTACGTACCTCGTAAAAAATATAATTTGTCCAGAAAGCTTAATGTTCTTTCTGCCTTTTCAGGCTTTGAGATTAAACTTCCTGGAATCAGTAGATTTTGTTATTTTATTTTTTTCTCCATCTTTTGTGAATAGATACCACTCGTCACACTGCAATTTTGGGAACAATTGAGACTGTAGTTGGCTTTCATGATTTGAGAGTTTAAAGCCTAGAAAACAAGCCTAAGAGAAATAAAAGAGGGATCTCGCTGTACCTGCTTTCTTGCAATGTATCTTGAAATCATCCAGTAAGATTGTTTTGTATAGAATTTGGTTAAAAGCAGTGTTTTATGTAATTTGAGATTCTCCCCTTTTTTGTTCCTGTTAATCACAAATGTGTTGAAGCAAGTGGAAAAGACCAACTATGTTTTCTGCCCAGAGAGAATAATTTCTAAATTGCCTTGTTTAGTACATACACACACTTTTATTCAGATTTTGCTATTCAGTCGTATTTGTTGTTTTACCTAGAATTATCATGGTATCTGAAATTCTGATGGTCACAAGACACTTGCTATTACTTGAATACTTAAGATATGAGTTTTCGTTTTGTGTATTTCTGCTGTGTGTATTATCACTCCTTTAAACAGTCATCTTGAGCAGGTTAAAGTTTAGCTAGATATTCCAGTCAATATCTTGCTGACAAATTCAATCAAATGGGAATATGTGTGAAAATCTAATTCTGTGTTCTCTGCTGAAATTGATTTCATATTTTTTCTCATTTAGCGTGTACTCAACAAGAGAGAAAATGACTTACTCTGTTGAATGCCTGCGTGACTATGTGTAGGTATCTAGATATGTTCTAAACTGAATTATTGCATTCTTTACAAACTGCTCTGTAGTAAAGTAGAGACCTATCATTTTACAGTGTAGGAGTAATACCTATTTTCGTGTCTTTCTAATAAACCCATAAATTATTGTATTAGTATTCAGCTTCTGTATCATGCTATTGAGTACACAAATGCTATGGAACTGAAGTTCAGTTCTCATATTTTGTAAAGCAGTGCTAATAACTACTCTGGCTCGAGTGATTTATTTTTTTGTTAATGTGTTGCTTACAGATTAGTTTGAATTGCTTTCAACTTCAAAAGAAATGTGTGCTACTTCTGTTGTGTTTAACACCTTTATAACTCTTTTAATCTAGTGACACAGTAATGGAGTACCTTCTCAACGTCACCACAGCACCGGAGTT